GATTGGCCCCCAATCTTATGTTTGTTGTATGCTCATGTATGAGTGGTTTTTCCCAATTATATATGTTTTTTCTATTGTTCTTCTTATATGTAAATAATTGTATGATTTGTGGGTTCTTCAGAGAACCCTATGAGAAACAAGCAAAATATGAATATTTTTTGTTTTGCTTCCTGATTGCTCTATTGTATTCCTTGTTGAATGTAATGTGTAAATATGTGATTAATTTTGAGAATAAATATGTTTTGATATGATTTAGAGTGCTCTATGGGTTCCTGTGGGAAACCCTATGAGAAACAGGCAAAATATGAATATTTTCTATTTTGATTTCTGATTGTTCTATTATATTCCTTGTTTGATGAGATGTATAAATATGTATTTAATTTTACAAATAGACGAGTTTTGATATAAATTAAAGTGCTATGTGTAGACTATGTGAATATGATGAGATAATATGATAATGTGATATGACGATTTAATGCGAAATGTGATTGAGACATGAGATATGAAGATATATGATGATGTGATATGATGATGAGACATGAAGATGTGATATGAGAATGAGACATGATAATATGATATGAGAAGAGCATCGAGTCTTGATTGACATGCATCATGTGCATAAATGTTTTTAAGGGTACGATATGGAATACACCGCGAGAGAAGGCCCCCTAGTGTAAAAGCTTTGGGGATTAGTCCTTGGGGATAGCTCGATTTGTAAGTCTCAATCTTGCCCATTGTGTGCATGGGATGTATCTTGCGCGGCTTAGCTATCCCGGTGAGACTCTGGTAGTATGTCCTTCTAGTTAGAGTGCGCAGAGGGTGTGACCCGACATGTACTCCTAGACTACTCTTCGTGTATTGCTAGCGGCAATATGCCATGTGATATGTTACTGGCGCCACATGCATGATAAAATATAGTCTGTGTCCATCCATGTGCATTTTAATGTTATATGATAAATTGATATTTTTATGTCTTGAATGAGTGAGATGTGATATTAATATTAATTTATCTGTGATATGTTTTGTTTGTGTTTGGCTATCCGGTGTATATTCTTACACTATGAGCCAGAGTGAGATGTTTCTCACTCCCTTTTCTTGTGTTATTTTTCCTTAACTGTCTTACAGGTTATTATCAGCATGAGGCTAAAGATGTTGGTGATGAAGCTTAGGCTTCTATATTGGGATATGCTTTGATAGGACATGTGACATCAGGCGTAGATAAGATTAGATTAAGATGTTTTTATTAAATTATTTTGGAAACTTTAGTTTTATTTCTTTGTAATTTCTGCTGATTTTGTTAAGTTATGGATGTGGTACTCTCTATCTGAACACGTTTGATATTTTAATTATGAAATGTTATGTTATTCAAATTTTATTATTTGTATGCGGGGTAGAGGGTGTCACATTGCACATCCCACTTGCTAAGTTTCCATGTTTCCTTTGACAATCTGCATTACACTTGTTTTCTTGACAATCATTCTCGTATAATTTTTCTTCACAACTTCTTGCCTCTATGACTTTCACTGGCCCTTCATTTTCTATATCAATACACATACAATGTTCAATACAATACCGTATGAAAGAAATAAGTTAATCTCAAATTGGGAAACTTGATGAAAAAAAATGAATATAAATAAATTCCTAGAATCTTAAATTAGTGACTAACTGAAATAAGTGAAATGCAATGCATACCAATCCCAATAGAAAGAACAAGCACAAGGATCAAAACTGAAATGATAGTCTTCATCTTATTTTGATTTTAGAACAATAAACTCAAACCTTCAATACAGTTACGTGTTGATATTATACTATATATATATATATATATATATATATATATATATTAATTCATAATTATAAAATTATGAAGCAATAGATAATAAAATTAGATATACCAGAATATGTAGAAGATATTTAATCCCTTTGGTTCTTGTGATGGAGGGGAGAAATTATATTTCACTATTTTGCTTTGATAAATCTTAATGAGACAACTACATATTTCAAAATATAGTGGTCTACCCGGAGATGGATATTTATATTTATATATTTATATATTTATATATTTATATATTTATATATTTATATATTTATATATATAATTCAGTTACGTATTATATATATTTATATCTATACAAATCTAGAAAGGGGATATTTCTTTTAGTAACCTCCTTGATCTCCACATTTTTTTTACCATTATACCCTTTCATCTATACTAATCTATAAATGGGATATTCCTTTTAGTAACTACCTTGGTCTCCACATTTTTTTTACCATTATACCCTTTCATTTAAAAAAAAATAGTAAAAATAATACTTTATGTAAAAATCAAGACCTTAAAGTTAATGGGCTAATCATAAGACTAGACCACTTACATTTATTACTTAATTTTTATTTTATCTTTAATAAAGGCACGAAGTGTCTCAACCCCACTAGTATATATAACACAACTATGTATTTATATATATTTATATATAATAAAGTTATGTGTTGATATGAAACTATATATATATATATATATATATATATATATATATATATATTTATATTTATATTTATATTTATATAATTCATATAGTTTGAATGAATTTAATGTTATTTAAAGATTTTAATCTTATCCTATTTATAATAAAGTGAACAACTTCGCCATAAATTCTTCATGCAATAATTTTTCATTTCTATATTATCTGTATACAATAATTTCTCTTCAAAATACCATTTCTTCAATATATTTATCACACACAAAAAGATAATTATAGTAAATTAAAATTGTAGCACCCTTCAAATTATGACGTGTTAGCAACTCCACACCATGATTGTTTATATAATGATACTTTACATACAATTTCTTATTGGTTAGAATCCTTCATGAATCCTTTGTAGGTAGCCCTTTTTGAGATGTTTGTTCACCTTTAGGTTCAATGACTGTCCCCACAAACCCACACAAAACTTTTTAATGTGTTTTGCTCTCACTCACGCACATTTTAGGAAATTTTTCAAAAGGTCTTTCATCCCTAAACCACTTCAAGTCAAGCACACTTCATTGTAGAGTTCTTAAATAAAAATAAAAATTAATTAAAAAAAATTATTATTGTTAGTATTATTATGAAAATAGAATTAAAATAATAACAATGCTAGTGAGCGAGTTAATTAACTGTTGCAAAGATGAATGAGAAAGAAAAAATATGAAAGAGTAATCAAGGTTGTGTTACAAAAGAGAGATATTGGTAAAAAAAAAAAAAAGGTAATGAAAAAAAGGTAAGACAAAGGAAGAATTAGGAATGACAAAAAAATTCATACCTACAATTATCTGCAAATAAAATTTGCAATGGATAGAAAATAAATATTGTAAATGGATATTTGCGGGTAACAAGTACGAGTATTTTCTATTCCTGCATGTTAATGAGGTAGGTACGAGTATTATAGTATCTATACTAGAAAATACACGTACTCAATAATATTTAATTTACACAAATACCCTCATATATATATATATATATATATATGTATATATATATATATATATATTGACTTTATTGTGTTGAACCCACTAATATTCTAATTCTTAAGATGCTTTCAACATTGTATTGAACATGATTTTATTGACTTTTGTAATTTTATTTTGACTTGTATGAATTTGATTTATTTGGAGTTTGTTTGAACTTATAATAATAAGTATTTTACTTTATTATCTCTTATTTTGATTTATGTGTAATCAAAATATTTTATTTTAATAATTATTTTTTGAACTTTAATTATATGTTGTTGAACATTTAAAATTCAGTTTCTAAGTCACTTATTGTTATTAGTATAATTGTGAAGAATATTTGAATTTTAATTTTATTATCTTCAAACTTTTTTGTGCAGAATTTATTTGAATTTTAGTTATAATATCTTCAAACTTTTTTTTTTGCAAATTTTTATAACTTTTGAAAGAAAAAAAAATTGTAACAAATAACTAAAAAAATGTATGATTAAAATATTTTGTTGAATATTTTTAAGATATATTCTTTTAGTAAATACCTGTAAGGACTCATGAATATCCGTGGATATTAAAAAATATAAGTGGTTCTGAGGATAGGTACGAAATGGATATTTATTAGACGTGAAAAGTAATGATGAGTTACTACCCATATCCATCTCGTTCCATTGACATCCCCAGGAAGAACATGATATTTATAACCTCTTTCTTTTTATTTGTATTTTCTATAAAAAAAAATATCCTTGACTAAATTCAACCAGCACATGCATTAACATTTTTCTAAAGAACACAATCTTAAGTTTAGTTTTCAAGTAGAAAATTTAGGCACAGGTTTTTTAGGTGGGGTTGATATTATTTTCCAATCAATTAAAATTGAAGTTTTACCTCAATAGTATGCATACATGTTTATTAATGAGATGCGTATTAAATGCATTTACATAATACTAAGGTAAAACTTCAACTATGATTGGAAAATGACACCAACTGCACTTAAGAAATTGTATCAAAGTTTTAAATTAGTGTAGTATGTTGGTGTCGAGATCAAACTGTCATGCTAATATTATTTTTTTTATTATTTTAATATAATATAAATATTTTAAAGTTATCTTAAAATTTCACATTTAATTAGAGATAATTGTCTTTATGACTATGTATCACAAACTAAAAATTTTACTTTATAGGCCTTTAATTTTTAAAGAATTTTATTTCAATTATTTTTCTTAAGAAACCTTAATGACAACTATATGTATTTGTGCCACAAACCTAGTTGCAAAAAAAAAAAAAGAAATTAAATGTCATTGATAACTTGTGAATAAATTTTATTGAAGGATTTTTTGACATTAAAATAATAATAGATTTATCTATATTATATATATATATATAT